CCTGACTGCAGCCCCAGCCAGCCTTCACGCTGGAGATCCTGCCCTGCCACCGTTCCTCTGCTGTGACTTGCACTCTTACACTGGTGGCAGCCCTGCCCACTCCACAAGGCCCAGCTCAAGCATGGCCGCCTCGAGGCCTACAGCAGCCTGTTTCCCAGCCTCCCTTTGGCTGAGCTGGGAGGTCACGACTCTATGTTCCTAGCTCTTTTCACATCATCCATGTCAAACTCCGAGTTCCTCGAGAGCCAGGGCTGTGACTGATTTGTTTCTGCAGGGCACACAGCAGGTGCTCAATAGATGTTAAATGAACAGCACATAAGTGAACAGAGTCATCTCAGCACAGGAAGCCTTGTAGAAGAGATGCTGGGACAAGTTCCCCTCCTGGTCCAGAATGACCTGCAGAGGGCCACGCTGCCCTCTGAACCCTTCTCACAAGCCACCTCCTATTTCAGCCACAGTGTAGGAATGAGTGGGGCAAAGATGTCTTCTGTGGCCAGGGGCATGCGTCTCCTGGGTCACAGCTGCCTACACCACACAGCCCTGAAAGGCGCCCTGTAGAGTTGAGCAACACGGCAGCACTGAGAACGGGGGCCAGCACTGCCCAGCAACACAGCACGTGTTCCACAAGGGCCTTTTAGACTCGGGAGTCAGTGATGGCTGAGGGCATATTAATCATCACTGAGCAGTACTCTGACAAGCCAGCCGATTATCAGCCCGAATCCCTCTGGAGAAAGGCTCTTCACTGGAGTCCTTGGGTAGGCTTCAGGGAATCCACAGACTCACTGGATTTGCTACAGGACTTTTGTATGTAGGTGTCTTTCTGGGGCAAGGGCGCACAGCTTTCTTCTGATTCTTGAAGGGGCCTGAGAAGTAACTGAGGAATCCTTGTATCCCAGTGTCTGTGGCCAATGCAGTGTTTTCATATGGCCGGTTAGTCCTCTCTCGGGGTCAGGGTCGTGGAGAGGTTACTGGGGTGAGGGTTGGGGGTCAAGGAAGCGGGGAACTTGCAGTGAGATAGATTAGGGCACCACTGGGAAACCACAGAGCCCAGGCGGGAGCCAGGCCTCTCCCTGGGCCGGCGGGGGGCTTGGGGTTTACTGCAGGCAGAACAGAGTGCCGCCCAGGGCGTGAGGGAACACCACAGAAGGTAAAAGGGGCCTCTTCCCCAAGAATTTGAAATTAAGACGAGAAGGGAGGTTGGATACTGCAGCTCATGCCTACAATTCCAGTGCTTTGGGAGATCAAAGTGGAAGGATCGTTTGAGGCCAGGAGTTCAAGACCAGCCTGGGCAGCATAGTGAAACTCCTGACTCTACAAAAAAAAAAAATTAAAAGTTAGCTGGGCATGGTGGTGTGTGCCTGTAGTCGCAGCTGCTCGGGAGGCTGAGGCAGGAGGATCGCTTGGGACCAGGAGGTCAAGTCTGCAGTGAGCTGTAATCGTGTCCCTGCACTCCAGCGACAGAGTGAGAAGACTGTCTCTTTAAAAAAATAAAAACAAGATGGTAAGGGAGGCTTCTGAGCATTAAACTGGTAGGCCACCCGCAGTGCAGCTGAGAGACGTGTGTGCCTGCCCATGCTCCCATCAGAAAGGGCCGGAACCATCCGCACCAGGAGGCGGGATCCGAGCATGGCTATGAATTCGGACACTGACACTACGTGGGCTGGAGAGGAGCACTGTTACACCTCGAGAAAGACTGGAGACAGCGGTGGCTGCATCTAGAACAATGGTTTCTGATTAGCGTGGGAGTCTGCTGGTCAAACAGAATCCTCCCTAGAAATCCAGCACGTGAAACAGAATCAAGGATGAGGCTTGGGCCTTGTCACTTGGTCCTCCTGCACACCTGTCGGTGGTGATGACCCCAAGGTGGCGCCAAGGAACCCTGTTTGACAATCACCGACTTGGAGGCAGGCAACAGAGCCAGAGGCTGGTGGCGATGAGTGTCCAGCACTGTCAGGGTTTGTCCCCACCCTCAGGAGCTCACAGTCTCCAGCGTCCCCAGCAGATGAAGCCATGGAGGCCATCTCTGCATATATTACTCAATGTCCCTGTCCCCATGGCAGTTTCTCCTTTCTATTACTGTACTTAATAGCCCGTGCCTCAGTTTCTCAGGGACTTGGCTGGCTGGTTTAGGCTCATGATCAGGATAGGTCCAGTCCTCATGCCAGAAAATCAAGAAACTCCGAGCCTTGAGAGCAGAGGATAAGAACTCAGATCCCTGAGCCTTCACCAAGGGAAGAGGTCACCTACCCAGTGCCAAACACCCGATGCCTGAGAACCCAAACTTCCAGTTACTTAAATTCTCTACCCTTGGTTTTCCCATCTCTAAAATGGGGAAAGTACAACACTCAAAGGTCTTTTGTAAGGATGAAATGAAATAGGTGTTTGCAAAAAGTTCTCTGCACAGTTGCTGGCATCCAGCAGGTGCTCAATAAATGTGCATTCCCTTCTCTTTCATCACACATTTGTGATTCTGAGTTACTCACTGGGGTTACAGTGAGGTCTCTGAGTCAGTTTACACTAAAGACAAAGCACATTCTTTTTGGAAGCCCTGTGACTAAGAAGAGGACTCCCTGGGAGTCCTCAGGCTGGTGCAGGAGTCAAGCAGGCCCAGGCTAGGAGGCAGAATCTGCTAGAGTCTCAGGGGGAGAGAATTCCACCACCAGGAGGCTTCAGGGAGGTAGGTGGTGGCCTGTGAACAGTGGGGAGGTCAGCACCAAGTCCTCTGGAGACAGGGTGAGGACACAGGAAGCAAACAGGCTATCTCCTGGGGGGGAAGGGTCTCTTGGGAATGTGGAGGACCTAGGCCTGATGGCACAGGGCAGGGCAGGGCTGCCAGACAGCGCTGGTTCCTGAGAAAGGGCCATGGCCCTCAAGGCCTCGACCTCAGCCTGCCCGTGATGCTCCCCCCCCCCCCCCCCCCCCCCCCCCCCCGCTCCTTCGGGAAATCTGCCTGGCTTCCTGCGACCCTTTTCAGACGCCGCTGGGCTCCAGCTTTCCCAGCCTCCTTCACACAGAGCTGGGGGCCCCACCTCTACTGAGAAAAGAGCCCCCAAAACCCCATGGGCACTGCCTGCAGCTGTGCCCAACGGTGTCCTCTCCCTCCTCCTGTATCTCCCTGGAGCACAGGCCACTCCTGCCTCACGGCTTACTGGCTCTTCCCAAGGCCCTCTCTCTCCTGGTCGCTTCTGTAGATGAGGACACATGTGCCAGAGGGGGCAACTTTCAATGAATGCTTCCTCCAGCCACGTATTTTTCCATTTTTCTCCTCTAAACATCTCTCCTCAAAAGAGTAGCCTACACACACCTTCTTCCCTCTCTCACCAGGCTGCTGGCTCATCAGCTCACTCCCTCTGGCTTCCTCTTCCCCTGTTCTCCAAGCCTGTTGTACAGGTGTCTTCATTTGCTCATTAGCTTAGTGTCTGTCTCCCATGAGAAGATGAGCTTCAGGAGGCAGGAACGTGCCTGGCTCCTCATCTATATTTTCAGAACCCAGCACAGTACTGATACATAGCAGATGTTCAACAAGGACTTGTGGTATGACTAAATGAATTAACCTGATCTTTTCCAAAGACACTGTCAGGTTTTGGTATCAGAGTAATGCTGTCCTCATAAACTGAGTTGGAAAGTGTTCCTTCCTCTTCTATTTTCCAGAAGAGAGTGTGAAAAATTGGTATTATTTCTTAAATAAGTATTGACTAGTAAATAATTCAAATATCATTTACATAACGATTTAAATACTATAATGCAATTAGAATATTTTAAGATTAAAATACAGTAAATTATTTAAAATAAAAATACACTCCTTAAATATTCAGTGGAATTTACCAGTGAATCAATTTGGACCTGGAGTTTTCTTTATTTGGACTGTTTTTAATTATATATCCAACTTCTATAGTAGGTATAGGACTATTCTGGTTATCTACTTCTTATTAAGTAAGTTTTGGTAGTTTAAATCTCTCAAAAAATCAGTCTCTCTCTTCTAAGTTAGTGAATGTATAAGCACAGAGTTGCTTATAGGATTCTCTGATTACACTTTAATGTCTCTAGGGTTTGTAGTGATGTCTCACTTTCATCTCTGATGTTGATAATTTCTGCCATCTTTCTTTTTATTCTTTCAGTCTGGCTAGAGGACTATCAATTGCTTTTCTTTTTTTTTAAAGAACCAACTTTTGGTTTCATTGTTTTTTTTCCAATTTCATTGATTTCTGCTCTTATCTTTATTACTTACTTCCTTCTACTTGCTTTAGGTTTCCAAAGACCTTAAAGAATATTTATTTTATTTATTATATCACCCCCTCTTATTTGTTATCCTCATTTTACAGATGAGGAAGGTGAGGGTCAGAAAGAAGTTTTATTTTATTTTATTTTATTTTATTTTGAGTTGGAGTCTCTGTCACCCAGGCTGGAGTGCTGTGGCACTCATGGCTACTCCAATGTCAACCTGCTGGGCTCTGGTGATCCTTCTGCCTCAGCCATCCAAGTAACTGGAACTACAGGTGCACACTACCACATGTGGCTAATTTTTGATTTATTATAGAGACAAGGTCACGCCAAGCTGTGCAGGCTGGTCTCGAACCCGCAGGCTCAGGCAATCTACTCGCCTCGGCCTCCCAAAGTGCTGGGATTACAGGCTAAACCACTGAGACCAGCCAGAAAGAAGTTTAAATAACTCTCCTGATGTCTCAAATTACTAAATGGTGGAGCCAGAACTCAAACCCAACTGTCTAACTCCAGAGCCTGTGCCTCTACCACTGAGCCACACTGCCTCCTAGCCACCTAACTCCTGGGCCAGATACTTCTCCTACACCAGATGCCTCACCAAACACTGCCAAGGTGAGCAAACTTCTTGGTTTACCTTGGACGCTCAGTACTTCCCACCTTCTCTCCCAGGGACCATCAACTTCCTTCATGGTCCAAGTGGCATTCTCTCAATTCCCTTGACCAGAAAACAGTAACCTGGCTTATACAAGGATAAAGCCTTCAGAATTGCCTTTATACTTACCTTGGACTTGGCTGAACTACAGGTAGTGGAATCTATTGGTGAAAGGGAAAAAAAGAAAACTGGATCAGGGTAGGAGAAGGCTGAGTCTTCTCTCTCCTCAAAGGCTTCAGAAACCAGGGAGTTCAGAACCTGAAATCTCCCCAGACCCCAGCAGTATGAGGGAACACTGATGTTGTTTTCTGTTGGATAGGGATAGAGCATAAAATGGTGTCAACCACCGCTCCCTTTAGAGGCAGCAAGTGACATCAGGCTGCCAGCCACTGGTCCCTCATTTACCCAGGTGTAAGGGCAAGGGGGCTATTTCTCTTTGGGCCTGGTCGATCTCCCCTTCCCCTCCTGTCCCTGTTACTCTGAAGCACTGGAGAGAAAATGCCAGATATCAGATGCAGTCCACGGAAACCACAACAGTGAAACACAGCAAATCACAGATGCTCTGGAGAAATGAAGACCACACAGTGCAGAGAGGTGGGTGTCTACATCCACCCCCCCAGGGCATGAGAAGGAAGAGGGACCATGTAAATGATGGATAAGGGGCAGAAATGAAGTGGGTGAGACGCAGGAGGTAGAGTGGGCTGGGGTGAGAGCCTCGACAGGTTCCACCTCCAGACCCGGGGTCAGCCTGCCCCACGGGGCAAGGCCCCGTTGTACCCAGAGCTGTGAAGGACAGTCCAATCATGACACCTGTGGGACTTGGGTCCCCCTCCCTTCACATCACTGGGGTGGAGAAGGATCCAGAAACAAGTCCGGGTGGTGTCCTCTCCAATGCTGCAGAGGGAGAGGTCGACCCAAGGGACTCCCGGGGTCCCACGGGGTGGTGGGCAGGCGAGGTTAATCCAACTCTCTGGCAGGCATGTTAGACGCCCCCTCTCCAGCCCCCTCCCCCTGCACACGGTGAGAAGAGCAGGATGGGCTGACCTCACACAACACACAGGGCAGGGGGCGGCGGGTGATTAGAAGAGACAGGGGGCTCCTCTCTGCCCTCCCCCCTCCGTGTCCTCTGGCCCCCTCCACAGCCTGCCTCTCGCCTCCCTCAGGGACAGCCCAAGGGACACTAAGGGGCAGGGCAGCCACGGCCAGGGAGGAGCTACTGGGTCAGCCAAGAAGGCTGTGGACATTCATTTGCCTCCAAGCACAATATTCCTCTTTCCTCCGCTTCCAGAGGGCCAGAGGCCCCGGAAACAGGACTTAGGGGCTGAGTGATGAGGACCTGGCTTTAGAGGTGGGAAGAGGCAGCCCCTCGGGGTATCTGAGACAGGACCTATAGCTCAGAGAGGCTTCTGGAAGTGGCTTCGCTGATCTCGAGAGCAGGGCTCCCGGCCAAGTCTTCCCCGGCAGTGGCCAGGCTTGGCACAGGGAAAAAGCCACAGTCTAGGGAACTGGGGGAGGGCAGCTGATCAATGCCTACACTTCCAGGCACAGGATGGGGGCAGGCTAGGCTGGGGGTGCAGGGGCACGCTGTGGACGAGTATGGGGAGCTGGTGTGCTGGGGTGGGGTCCTCGCAGCCCGGGGCGTCTCTGCCTGCCCTGTCTTCTTATAATCACCCACCACTGTTAGTGACTGAGGCCGCGACACCGCACTGTACCCTTTAAATCTCCAACAGGTCCGCTGGGGGGGGGGGGGAAGGAGAAGAGAAGGGTGTGGGGTGGGGATCGGGAGGGAGCAGAGGGAGACGAGGAGGGGCAGGGTGTGAGGAGAAAAGAAGAAAAATTAAAAAGAGGAACGTGCCCAGAAGGACGCAGCCAGCCCGCGAGAAATTAAAGGCTCAGGAAAGACACCAGCGAGAAAGGGCCACGAAGCTCCTGCCCAGCTCCAGGGAGGGAGAAGGCCTGGCCACAGCCCTGTCAGGTGGCAGGCGCTGGGGAGGGGGGACCCCACTGGGGCGGGGCAGGAAGGCGGGCATCTGTCCAGGAGTCTGGGACCCTCAGGAACTGGGAGCCCATCCCCCTCCCGGCCCGGCACTCACCTGAGCCTGGGTCCCCGGGGGGCACCGTCCTGCCAATGTTGGGTAGAAGGTACTCGATGTTGGGCACTGACTGAGGCTCCTTGTCATCCACAGGGGTCTGCAAACAAGAGAAGGGTCACGCCCTCAGGTGGCTGGACATCAGGACCCCCGTCTCCTCTACAGGCCGGGCTGACCAGGGCAGGGACTGCTGCCCTCATCAGCTGGGCAACTCTCGAGAGAAGGCCCCGCATAGCCCCGTTAGATGGCTTTGTGCACTTTTTTTTTAAGAGGCAGAATTTGGCCTCCAAGCTGGAATGCAGGGAGGCAATCATAGCTCACCTTAACCTCAAACTCCTGGGCTCAAGCAATCCTCCCACCTCAACCTCCCGAGCAGCTGAGACTATAGGCATGCACCATCATGCCCGGCTAACTTTTTTATATTTTATTTCTTAGAGACAGGGTCTTGCTCTGTCACCCAGGCTGGAGGGCAGTGGTGATCACAGTTCGGGGTCACTCAAACTCCTGGGCTCAAGTGATCCTCCTGCCTCAGTCTCCCAAGTAGCTGAGACTACAGGCGCCTGCCACCACACCCAGCTCATTTTTATTTTTTATTTTTTGTAGAGACGGGGTCTCACTATGTTGCCCGCTGGCAGGGCGCTTCCTGAGATCTAGATCCTTCACAAAAGACGAAGGGCGGGGCTGCCTTCACTCGTGGACTGGGTTTCCTCAGAGCGAGGCCTGTGTCGCCCACACCAAACTAGGGGCTCAGGAAGGGAAGGATTGCGTCTCTCCTGTCAGACGGGAGGTTCCTGAAGAGAGGCTCTGTGTTTCTCCCCTTAGACTGGGAATGCCCCAAGGGCAGGACCTTCCCCTGGCCTGAACCCTGCGGCCAACCCCGCCCCCTGGGACTGAGCCCACCCCAGACCCTGCCCCACACCAGCCCGGGTCACTTACTCTCTCCCCCTTGTCCTCCTCGTCGCTGAAGAACCAGTCTGACTGCAGAGGAGACAGAAGGAAGGGGTGAAGTCAGCATGGAAAGGGCCGAAGGAAGCCAAGGGGATGCAGGATCCCCAGTCTGCCGGCTCCAGAGGATCCACTGGAGAGGACTCCCCGCTCTCAACACGCCCCCCAGCTGGCCGGCTGCTGGGGAGGCTCAGGGATCCTGGAGCCCGACTCCACCCACTGCGAAAACCGCTCAGGGAGAGCAAAGGTGGGACAGCGTGGGAGGAAACTCGTGGAGGGGGGAGGGCCCCTCACAGATGCCGCAGGCTGGGGAGAGCTGCTCTTTTTGCTTGTTTTTCACTAAACATGGTCCTGGGCACATCCCTAGGGCACTGTCCCCGTAGCCAGCCAGAAGGCAGGGAGGCAGCTGTGCCCTGAGTGCCGGCATGTCTGTGGCAGTGAGAGTAGACTGCGTGCCAGGCCACCCCTGAGCGCCACACTGACAACAGGGTGTCACATCCCGGGCCAGAAGAGGAAAATGCCTGGAGAGGGGTGTCAGGAGGTTCCCTGAGAGGCAGGCTGGCAAGAGCTTTCTCATAAATGCCAAATAGGAGAGAAAAGAAAGTAAAAACTCACACTTAAATATATTTTGTGAAATTTCAGACTGTTTTTTTTTTGAGTTGGAGTCTTACTCGGTCGCCCAGGCTGGAGTGCAGTGGCATGCTCCCAGCCACTCCAGCGTCGACCTGCTGGGCTCTGGTGATCCTTCTGCCTCAGTCTTCCAAGTAGCCGGAACTATAGGTGTGTGCTACCACACCCCACTAATTTTTGATTTATTGTAGAGATGAGGTCTCACCAAGTTGCTCGGGCTGGTCTCGAACCCACGGGCTCAGGCAATCCACTCGCCTCGGCCTCCCAAAGTGCTGGGATGACAGGCTGAGCCACCGAGCCTGGCTCCAGATTATTAAATTTAAAAATATGTTGTCTACAAGAGGCATTTGAACAAAACGCAACAGAAAACATGAAAGGTCACGAGTAAAAGAGGAATATATACTGATAAAAGGAACCAAAACAGATCAAGAAGAAGAATAAATCAGGCTGGGCATGATGCTGGGCTGTAATCCCAGCACTCAGGGAGGCCGGGGCCGGAGGATTGCATGAACATGGGAGTTCCAGACCAGCCTGGGAAACAAAGCGAGACCCCCACCTCTACACACACACACACAAAATTAGCCAGGTGTCATGGCACATGCCTGTAGTCCCAGCTACTCAGGAGGCTGAGGTAGGAGGACTGCTTGAGCCTAGAAGGTCAAGGCTGTGGTGAGCTGTGATTGTGCCACTGTACTCCAACCTGGGAGACAGAATAAGACCTTAACTCTCCTAAAAGCTCTAAATATCAACCTCCCATATGACCCCGCAATCCCCCTACTGGGACTATATCCTGAAGAACTCAAATCACTCTATAAAAAAGACACCTGCACACGTATGTTTATCGCAGCATTGTTCACAATAGCAAGAACCTGGAGGCAACCATGCTGCCCATCAAAAGACGACTGGATTTAAAAAATGTGGTACATATACACGATGGAAGACTACGCAGTCGTAAAAAAGAACAAAATCATGAATTTCGCAGCAATCTGGATGGAACTAGAGTCTATAATACTGAGTGACCTCTCACAGAAACAAAGATCCGAGTGTCACATGTTCTCACTCATATAGTGGACCTTGAACATCCAATGTAATACTATAAGAAAATGACTGACAGTAGTGGGAAACTATGGGGGGGGGATGGGATTAACGGTAGCAAATATCTGTCTGGGGACGGGGAAACACCTCTTATCAACAGAGTGCCTGAATGAAACGTATTTGTATACCTAACCCTTAACTGTACCCCACAACATCATAATAAAAAATATTGATTAAAAAAAAAGACTTTAACTCAAAAAAAAAAGTGTAATAAATCACAGCATATGTGAATCTAATATATCTTAAAATTTATTAAGCAACAATTGCCAGAACTACAAGGAGACTAGAAAAATTAAATATTGTAGCTGGTCAACCCAATTAAAAGAGACGGGCTCTCAGAACAACACAATAAACAAGTCCAACCAAATGGCTATACTTAGAACCCTCAGCTCAACCACTAGAGAAAGCATATTCTTTAGAATACCATGAATCTCTCAAAGTCAACCCTATTCTAGGCCACAGCAAAACTCTTAACAGACCCTCAGGAGTCAGCACCATACAGACAAAGTTCTCTGCTCAAAATGGAATAAAATTAGAAATAACAACAACAGCAAAAAAGCCAAAAACTCCCCAGATCCTCATATGTTTGGAAACAGCAAGAATACTGCTAAATAATCCTTGGATTAAAGAGAAAAATCATGAATTATTAAGTACCTAGAGCTAAATTCCAAAAAAAGCACCACATGTGACACTCTATGGAAGAGAAAACCCAAGTGACTTGGGGTAGGAAAGGACCAAAGGCACAACCTGTGAGAGGGGTAGCTGGCTGGGCATGATGGCTCGTGCTTGTAATCCCAGCACTTTGGGAGGAGGAGGTGAAAGGACTGCCTGAGCCCAGGGGTTCAAGACCAGCCTGGGTAATTTGGCGAGACCTCATCTCTACAATAAATTAAAAGAAAAAAAAAATTAGCCGGGCGTGGTGGTACATGCATGTAGTTCCAGTTACTTGGAAGGCTGAGGCGGAGGGATGGCTGGAGCCCGCCAGGTCGACGCTGGAGGGTAGCCATGAGCATACCATTGCACTCCAGTCTGGGCGACAGTGAGACTCCCACTCAAAAAAAAAAAGGAAAAATGAAGAGAAGATACAAAAAAATACAGAAGAAAAAAGGGAGAAATAACTATACATACAAAAGATATTTAAATACAATAAAGCATATTAAAATATCAATAAATATGAAAATTCAGATAAAGTATATTTCTAGAAAAATGTCGAAATTTGTGTTAAAACAGGTGAATAGGCATTAAATTGATTGAAATAATCATTCAAACTTCACCCCCAAAGTATCCCAGGCCCAGTCATTTGACGGTTTTATATTTTCATCTAATATTTCAAGGAATATATAATTCCAACATTACGAGTTGGAAAAAGCAGAAAAGCTGCCAAATTCAGTTTTTGAGGCTTATAATCAAAACCAGATAAAGATATAAGAAAGCAAATAAGGTATAAGAAAATACAGCTAGAGGTCAGTCTTGTACTTAACATAAGATGCAAAAACCTTTAAAAAGAGAAATAGCTCCTGGGTGCAGGGGCTCACACCTGTAATCCCAGCACTTTGGAAGGCGACAAAAGGATGACCTGAGCCCACAGGTTCAAGACCAGCCTGGGCAAATCGGTGAAACCTCATGTCTACAATAAATAAATAATTAGCTGGGTGTGGTAGCATGCTCCTGTGGTTCCAGCTACTTGGAAGGCTGAAGCAGGATTGCTTGAGCCCAACAGGTGTAGGCTGTGGTGGCCGTGAGTGTGCCACTGCACTCCAGCCTGGGCGACAGAGTGAGTGAGACTCCAACTCAAAAAAAAAAAAAGTAAAATAGCGGGCTAAATCTAAAAGCACAAAAATAACAATTGCATTATGATTAAGCCATATTTATCTTAGGAAAGCTAGGATAGCTCAAGCTGAAAATCCATAAATGATCGCTTCTTGGCCTTTTGGCTAAGATCAAGTGAAAATCCATAAATGGAACAAAAGAGAAAAATTATACAATCAACTCAATAGATGCCAAAAAAGCATTTAATAATGCTCAGCACCTGAATTTGATTAGGAAAAAAACACAAAGAATAAATAGGAACTTCTTTTTGAGTTGGAGTCTCACTCTGTCATCCAGACTGGAGTGCAGTGGCCGCTCCCGACCTCCGCAGCCTTGACCTGCTGGGCTCCGGCGGTCCTTCCGCCTCAGCCTTCCGAGTAGCTGGAACTATAGGCGCGCACTACCACGCCCGGCTAATTTTTTTGATTTATTGTAGAAATGAGGTCTCACTAAGTTGCCCAGGCGGGCCTTGAACCCATGAGCTCAGGCAATTCACTCACCTCAGCCTCCCAAGGCGCAGGATTACAGGCTGAGGCACCGAGCCTGGCCAATAATGCTCAGCACCTGAATTGATTAGGAAAAAAACAGGAATAACTTCTTTAACGTGATAAAGGAGAAGTTTTTGGTAATCTCTTTGAGGTCAGGAATATGGAAAGATAACCACTGTCCCTCTTACTATTCAAAACAGGACTGAAAGTTCTGGCCAATATAGTATGACAAGAAAACAAAATAAAAAGGACAAGAATTAGAAGAAACAAAATTGAAATTAGATAAAACTAAAGTGCAATTATTTGCAGATGACATCTCCATAAGAAACTCAAGAGAATCAATAAAACTAATGAGTTCAGCAAGTTGTAAATGAAAGATCAACATACAAAAGCCAGTTTGCCACACAACTCTGCGCATATACTAAAAACTACTACATTGGCTGGGCATAGTGGCTCATGCCTGTAATCCCAGCACTTTGGGAGGCTGAGGCAGGGGGACTACTTGAGCCCAGATGTTTGAGACCATCCTAGGCAATATAGGAAGACCTCATCTCTACAAACAAGAAATCAAAAAATTAGCTGAGTGTGGTGGTGTGTGCCTGTAGTCTCAGCTACTTGAGAGGCTGAGGCAGAAGGATCACCTAAACCCAGAAAGTCAAGGCTGTGATGAGATGTGATCATGCCACTGACGTGTGATAGAATGAGACTCTGATCCCAAAAGAAAACAAAACAAAATACTGACTCGTACAATTTAAATGAGGAATTGTATAGTATGTGAAGTATATCTCAATAAGTTATTACACAAAAACAATTCTGTGTGCTTTTATGCTGGTATAGTCAAGTAGAAAATATCACACAAAGTAAGAAACCATCTGTCCTGGCTACAAAACACGTAACGCATCCAAAAGTCATTCTTATAGGCCAGGCGCGGTGGCTCATGCCTATAATCCCGGCACTTTGGGAGCGGAGGCAAGAGGATTGCCTGAGCCCACGGATTCAAGACCAGCCAGGGCAACATGGCAAGACTTTGTGTCTACAATAAAAAAAAAAATTAGCCAGGTATGGTGGTGCACACTTGTAGTTCCAGTTACTAGGAAGGCTGAAGAGGAAGGATCACCTGAGTCCAACAAGTGGAGGCTGCAGTGGCCATGAGCATGCCACTGCATTCCAGCCTGGGCAACAGAGTGAGACTCTGACTCAAA